AGATAATATACATCATTAAAATAAGCAACTGAATGATAGTTAAATATTGGCTTCATTTGAGTTAATTTTACAAACATATAAGTTGTATTTGGTTAATATTTTAGTTAAAAAAATGAAAAAAAAAATTGATTAGATGAACAAAAACAAAAACAAAATAAAATTATATGTAATAGTTTTATAATAAATCTCTTTAATTTTGAAACAAGAAAGATACTAGACATGTCTCATCCACCCTAATTGCATTCATTTTTTTTAATTATTATTATTATTATTATTATTATTTTGAAATTAATTCTCTTTGAATTCAACCCAAACAAAAATATTCTATATTTGCAATGAAAACACGTTGAATTAAGCGTCTAAGAATGGAACATATAATGGGAAATTCCACAAATGCTGACATAAAAAAGTTGAACTAGTTTTTGCCAATGTAGAGCGATGTAGATAATAAATAATAAGAATTAAAAAAAAATGAAGCTTTTAGAGAAGAAACTAAGAAGTGAAAGAAAAGAAAGAAAAGAAAGGGGATTAGAGGTATGCAAAGTCTGCAAATAATCATTAAAACTACCTGACAAAATGATAAAGGAGGAAATAAAAAGTAAACCCAAAAACATCTCGCTATTGGGCTCGGCCCATCAAATCAAACTATTTAACATAAATAATTTTAAATAAATAAAATAACAATAAGATAGGTACAAATGGGCTAAATAAAATAATAATGAGATAGACCCAAATAAATTTAATCGCTCAACCAAAGGGTGACATGCTAGACCATCCTGTGTTATTTCTGTCCATATACTCGTGTAGTTTGTGATGTTGGTCTGGTGTCCCCACCAACTCTCCCAGGGTTAGAGGAATTGAACCCCATTGAGTGTAGCATTGGTTGACTTTGATAGTACTCCTAAAGATCTGGATCAAGCTACTGCAAAGTATCTCTAGTAGTCCAAATGCAATCTAAGTCAGGTCGACCTACCCAGCGAACTAAAAACCATTAAACTTCACCATTCCTTTTAAACACAACTTGTTCATCTAAAATAGGATCAATAAGGTGAAAGGGATAGAGGTTTTAATAGGATCATTAGGGGGGAGTTAAGTGGTATCTCAAATGGATCATTTGGAATAGGAAGTGACTTATGGTATGCAACTAGATCCTCAATGTTAAATGTAGAGCTAATACCAAAATCATGTGGTAAATCAAGAACATAAGCATTTGGACCAACCCATTGTAGCACTTTAAAAGGCTTGGCACTGCATGCATGCAATTTTTTATTAGCTCACGAAGGAAACTGCTCGGGTCTAATCCGTATCATAACATAGTCTCTTATATTAAACTCATTATGTCACTTATGTAAATCAACTTGAAGTTTGTATTACACATTACTTGCTTAAATATGTTTAGTGATTTCAATATACAAATCCTAAATTCTACGTGCAAACAACTCGACTGACTCAAATACTTTAGCATGAAAGGACATGGGAAGAAGGTCTAAAGGCTTTTTAGGCTTGTAACCATGTACAACTTCAAATGGACTTATGCCTATTGACCTATTGATAGAGCTATTATAGGCAAACTAGGCCGTAGGAAGAATCATATGCCAATTCCTATTATAATATGGAGTTATTACTACCAAGTTGGGATCTAGAAGAGGTACTACTACTGTCTTGACGTCTAGTCCATTGGCTTTTTGTGACCAAGTTATAATTTAATATTAGGGTATAAGCATTATCAAGGGTGGACACACCTTTAAGCACAACCTTCCTTCTAAGGTCATCATTTAAGCCTCTTTAAAATCTATTTAGGGTCACCACTTCATCCTCTCTAACTACACACCTTATTTTATACTTATTAAATTATGCCACATATTCATTGGCAAACTTGCCTCCTTGTCTCAAGTTATTCCACTAATTCAAAAGATTTCCTCTATAAGAACGAGGTAAATACTTTTCTTCTAACTTAATCTTTATTTCAACCCAATTAGTGATAGGAGGTTGACCTTTCCTATCCAAAAACTCTTTTACACTTTTTTAATAGAGTTGAGCGGTTCCACTAAGTTTCATCTTTGCAAATCATACCCTTCTATTCTCTGATAAATTATAATAGTCAAAGAATTAATTCATGTCAAGGATCCATTTATCAAAGATCCACAAGTCAGGGCTTCTACTTTGATATGCCTTATTACTCACCATAGTCATGATGACCTTGATTATGGTTGTATTAATGGTTCCTAAAATGAACTGGTCTTTGATGGTAATCATTGAATTGCTCACTATCGTTAGGGTCTTCAAAGTCACTGTGACCTCGATGATGGTTACATTGGCGGTTCCTATGAGGAACTGGTCTTTGAGGATTCCTATGCTGTCACTAAAGTGTTCACTCTCATTAGACTGTCTTACTTACAAAGTTTCTATGGACTTCATCCTCCTAGAAAGGTTGTTCTATTGATTGGACATGTTGCTCATTTCTGTTTGTGTAAGTTGTAATTGTTCTTAAATATCTCTAAGAACTTTACTAGAGTTCTGGTCCATAGTAGCTATGACTTCTAGATTGTGTACTAGACGACCACTATGTAAATGCATGTAAAAATTAATCCTGAGATTGAGATCACAAATAATATTGATTGGACATGTTGCTCATTTCTGTTTGTGTAAGTTGTAATTGTTCTTAAATATCTCTAAGAACTTTACTAGAGTTCTGGTCCATAGTAGCTATGACTTCTAGATTGTGTACTAGACGACCACTATGTAAATGCATGTAAAAATTAATCCTGAGATTGAGATCACAAATAATACTTGCAAATAAAAATGCAAAATAAAATTATAGCTAATAAAAAATTATTGTTGTTGTTGTTGTTATTATTTAAATAAATAAATATTTATTTATTATTATCTCTGAAACTAAATAATGACAGATTAACTAGGAAAATGTGTAAGCAAGCAATGTAAGTCCTTTTAATGCACATAAGTATTCCAAATACAATGTTTCAGTTTTCCCACTACCATAATTAATTAAGAGGATTAGATCTTCAGTGGCTCAAAATAAAGGTAATTCAATTTAAATGCGACTTATGTAATTTAGTTATGGGCAAGCACAAAGAATAATATTAATGTTAAATCTTGGTTAACAAATGTAAAAGCATACGAGGAATGAAGATTTTCAATGGGTAAAAAAATTATGACCGGATGATGCGGTAGTGAAGGATTACGTGGCAGATGACATGGTAGGATAAGCTAGAGAGACAGATGACATGGTAGGATATGTTAATGTGGTAGGAATTGTTGATGTGGAAAACGATGCTAATGTGGTAGGAATTGATGTCATGGCAGATGAAATGGATGTCTGACATGGTGATTTGGTAGGAATTGATGTCATGGCAGATGAAACGGATGTCTGACATGGTGATTATGTGGCTGGGTTATTTATTTTACCAGCTTTTGTTTCCTTTTTCCCTACCTCCTTACTTGTTGTTGTTGGCGGCACGACATGGCTATTGAAAGTGAGGACAACTGCAGTTTGTTGAGGGTGGTGGTTGTCGCTGGCCGGTTCTACTACTTTATTTGTTGCTAATGGCGGATGACAAATGGCGATTATACTATGGACGGTGCCAACTAAAGCTCAATCGCTGGCGCTGAAGAGGATGACACTAGCTAAGGCGATGCCTTTACTGGGAGCAAACATTAGTCGGTACTAGCGGTGATAGGTTTGTAAGTGGATGTGGCTGGTGGTTTGTACTGCTGGTTTGGCTGCTGAAGCCGGAGATCCACTAATGTCTCTTGCGGTGTTAATCTAGTGGTTGCCGTTGGTCTGTGTCGGAGGTAGCAAATTGACGTGGATCCCTAAACTGATTTGTGTGTCTTTTCGATGGTGAGTCTGCCATTATGAGTGACTGAGACGCCGTTGATGGAAAACCCAATTACAGTAATGGATGATGAGCAATTTTTTTGACGCCGTTGATGGAAAACCCAATTACAGTCATGGATGATGAGCATTTTTTTTTGTAATCAGAACAATACATTTTTTTTTCTTTTTTATCAATCTAGGGTTAAGCATAACATATCGATCGTTTAATTGTAAGAACAAAGGGGATTGGAGGTATACAAAGTCTGTAATATTTTCATTAATCATCAAAACTGTCTCACAAAATGACATAGAAACATATAAATAGTAAACCCTAAAACATCTCGTTATTGGGCTTGGCCCATCAAATCAAACTGTTTAACATAAATAATTTTAAATAAATAAAATAATAATAAGATAGACCCAAATAGAATAAGTAAAATAATAATAAGATAGGCCTAATTGGGCTTAGTTTCCTAATTAAAATGTGGTGGCTAGGCCATCTTACATCGTCTCCATTTATATACTTATATAGTTTACAGTATGGGTCTGTGTCTCTACCCCTAAAGCTCTTAAATTTGATTTATTATTTGTTTTAATCACTTTTATCAAATTAAGTAATTTAATCAGCATCCACATTTTGTTAATGTGGCTATCTTATCTAGTTGTTACCTAGACCATGTGATTTAATCATGGAGGTGACTATTACAAGGGCTTGCTTTTCTTTATTCTGTTCTTGAACAATGAACTTAAAAATCACAATCACCTCAAACCATGTGCTACACGCACGGCTTCTGTCCTTGCACCATATTTTCCACAACGTCGGTGTCTTGTTCGTTGAAACCGGAGTGGTTAGTCCTCAACAATTGGCAAATATTATAGTTAAGATGAAAGGTTTTGTAGTTATCCATGGATGTCTAATCTTGACCTTATAACGGTCAGAATTATTGGTGTTTTTTTAATGTCTCTTTACAAAGTGAAGTTGCTAGCTATCCACCGTCCTGTCCATTAGTGATTCTTTAAACGAAATGAAATTGAACGTGATTTCCTTGGATTTTTCTTCACCGTCTACACACGAAACATGTTTGACAAAATGCCAGAAAGGAGAGAGATTTCCTAAAAGTATTTTCTCCAACTTTTTTTCCTTTCATATAATGGAGCTGGAATAGTGAGCATTTATAGACAACATTACATGACCAAATCATAACAAACAATTACAAGATTAAATCTCAGCTGTACAACCCATCATTTTCTGATGTGCACAACAATTCTAGAGGATCACATAAATGGGATTCTGTTATTTTCATCCACAGGAGTCCTGGCATGTTGAATTGGTGCTGGCATGGTCCAGGCCTCAATGGTCCCCCTCGAGTGAAGTTGCACGGGGAGATAGTAAGAGCTGAGCGAAGTAGGTTGAATCGAATCGGAGATATAGTGGCCTTGTCAGGATGTCTGCCACTTGATCTTTGCTTGAAACAAATGCAACTTCAAGTGTTTTAGCTGCACCCTTTCTCTTACAAAATGAAAACCAAGTTCAGCATGTTTAGTTCTAGAATGTAATACAGGATTGACGGACGGATAAGTAGCACCTAAATTGTCTCACCACAAAGAAGGTGGTGGATCAGCTAAGAAGATAACTAATTCTTTTAACAGCGACTGAATCCAAAGGATTTCACAGGTGGTGATCGCCACTACCTTGTATTCAGCCTCTGTTGAAGATCTAGCTATGGTGGGTTGCTTCTTAGAGCCCCAAGAAATGAGGCGCGAGCCAAAATAGACACAAAAAGCACCCGTTGAGTTGATTTGCGGTCATCTGGACACCCTGCCCAATCGGCATCTGAGAAGGCAGGAAGTATAAACGAAGACGATGAGGAAAAGTAGAGACCAAGGATAGACGTGTGATGGAGATAGCGTAAAATACGCTTGACAGCCTGCCAATGAGAGAGACACGTGGATAATGCATGAACTGATAGACTTTGTTGATGGCAAAGGAAAAATCAGACCGGGTAAAGGAAAGGTACTGGAGGGTCCTCAAATGAAGGCCGATCGATAGCAGAGAGTTTGATTGTGGAACACATAGGAGTAGACAGGACTGGTTTAGACTTGTGCATGTCTGTCTTGTGCAATAAATCAAAGATAAAATGTTATGGTCATATCATATTCTACTTGAAGAATTTTTAATTAATTAGAAACAGTTTACCATTTCATATATACGTAAAAAAGTGTTTAGATCAACTTGTGTATTGATTAATCTCTAAAATTTATAAAATTAAGTAAACTTCTAATAATTTTAAGTCTTGTAGCATTTAAACTAGTTATTTTTAATAAATAAATTTAAGAACTCGTCACTTAAACATTATCCCTTATAATTAATATTTATTTATTAGCTCACGTTATATTTGCACGGGGAAAAAACAATTTATATACTCTATTCTTCATATTAATTTGGTTAAATAATTATGTTCACACATCTATAACCAGACGAAATTGAATGTTCGAGGCTAGCTGGCATGCAATTATTGAGACAGTTCATTAAAGTTGCTGTGCAATATATTCTAGTCTTTTCTTATTTTTTTTATCCTCAACTTCTTAATCCTTGCTTTTTTCTTCTTTAATTTAAATAATCAAGTTACTCAGTTTTTCGCATACTCAAACTAATTTTTTTATCAAATTAAGTTGGTAATTTAAAGGTTTAATTTATTAACTTATCACAATTTTCGACAACATTTATGATATTTTACTTGTAGTCTTTTATATATATAACTAATTGTTGATATATATGGAATGTGTTAGGAATATGTTTATGGATAAGATAGATAATGAAGCTCATTGCAAAAAAGGAACACGTAAAATATATATTTTGATAAAAATAATTATAATTTCAGATTCAATTACTAAATCGAGCTCATATTTCCTTAGAAAACTTTATAGGCCTAGTCTATAGGAAGATCGTGTCGCTGTAATAAACCAGCCAAGATCCGGAAAACTTTTAAATTAGATTTAGAAGATAATTTCTTCTAGTTAATTTCCTCTCTCTCTCTCTCTCTCTCTCTCTATCTATCTATCTATATCTATATATATATTAGGATTATAACCTTAAAATCTAAAATATTTTGTTTTTAGTCATGCTATACATTATGTCACTTGTGACTTCATATTTTCTAGTCAGGAGTTTCATTTTACAATTAGGCCCTATTTGTTTGCAGGAAAGTTGTTTCCTTTTGGAAAGTGAATTCCGGGGAAAGTGAATTCCGAGAAAATGAATTCCAGGGAAAATAAATTCCTGAAAAGTAAAGTATTTTCCGATGTTTGGTAGTGTTATGGAAAATGAATTGGAAAACACTTTTCAGTGTTTGGTTAT